AAGCGCGCCCTTGTCCTTGGCCGTCGCCTCCAAGCCTAGCGCCACCAGAACCATCTGACCCGTCGGGGGCCAGCGCCGGCCCGGTTGCCTGCCCAACTCGGCCCTGGTCTCCTAATTGCTGCCCCACCCCTTCGGCGGCCCTCGCTCATCTGGAGCAGGGAGTGTTTACCTTATTTTTAGTTTTTAGTTTTTCGTGACAGGGTCTCGCTACGTAGTTCTGTCTGGCCTTGAGCTCACTAGTCGAGGCTGGCCTCGATCTCCCATCAATTCTCTTGCATCAGCCTCCCCAGTGTTGGGATTACTGGCCTGTGCTACCACTCTGGGTTATGGAACAAGGAGCTTTGATTATTATTATTATTACTATCATTATTATTATTGTTGTTGTTATTATTATTATTATTATTGGAACAAAGAGCTTTTTAAAGAGTCAGATTGTAGCAGTTTCTAACTTACAGCTTTCTTCTAGGCTTCCGTGTAACCCTGTGGGAACTCAGCCCCTACCCTTGGCTCCCAAGGTCCTGCCCACCTCTGTGACCTCATCAGCTCCCCTGCAAGCCTCAGCAGCAGCAGCAACCCTTTTTGTTCTACCTCAAACTTCAGTTCAGTTCTTGCTGCCACAGGGTGTTTGCACATGCTCCTTCTCCCCTTCCACAGTGTTGTTCCTCCTGTGAGCACCTTCTGCTCCCCAGATCCCTTCCTGACTTGGGAACCACAATTTTTTCATCCTGCTTTCTTGGGTTCCTACCTAGTGCTCCCTGGGGAGGAGGACAGAGGAAGATGTTCCTTGAGTCCTTTGGGGCTGGTCTGGCCGAGGCGCGGTTTCTTCCTGGCCCTTGGGCCCTGTTTTGCGGTAGCGGACAGGAAGCAGGGCTGGGTGGTCTTTGAGCCTTTCTCCACAGGCAGCTTCGACGCTGGCACCTGACCACCTGGGTGCTCTGAGCTTCAGCTCTTTTCCTGTGCTGTCCCCTGTGCTGATTCCTGGTCCCTGAGGAGGTAGGGGGCAGACTGAGGATGGAGCGAGCCCTGCCAGAGTCACCCTGCCCTACCCTGTGCCCTCAGCCTGCTGCGGGTCTAGCTAGGGAGGCTGTTGTGCCAAGCAGAGGCCTCACAGGGTGCGGGGACAGCGGCCAGGTAGGTGGGGACATACCTGGGAGTGGCAGGAAGCTGTAGGGGCTGGAGCAGAGATGGGGTTCCCTCCTGTGTCTCTACCCACCCAGGGCCTCACTGTCCCTGGCCTCAGCTGGTGCCCTTGGCACCCAGATCACATGGCCATTTCCTGTGTCCCCAGAGTGGAGCTGCAGTGGTGGCCCACACCTGTACCCAGTGCCCGGCCTGGGCCTGTTGGGCAGCAGGTCTGAGGAGACCCCGCTGAATGGAGGAAGCCTGGGCTGGGCGGGGTGGCCTAGAGCAGTGGGTGGTCGTGTTGCCGCTCCCAGGTGGGAAGGGCAGGCTGGCCCATCCTGGACACTGCTCCCTCTGCCCCGAAGGGTGCTGGGAAGTCACCCGAACAGCTTCCAACATGCCACAGTGGTCCTCTGGAGCCTCAGGGCTGGGGTGGACCTCCTGTGCTTGGCTTTCAGGAATGTTACCTACCAGGAGGCCCTTGGCCTCTGAGATGACTGACGGGTGACCTTTCTGCCGCAGCGGCCTCTGCCTGGCTCGGTCGTTCGGTTTCACACAGTGACATGGTCCTTAGGAAGCCCCAGCCTGGGGAGAGCCCTGGGAGCCCCCACTGGCCACACCTCTTACCCCCTGACCAACAGCGCCAGGTCCTGAGGACTCGGGAATAGTGCGTGCATTGTGCTTCTGGCTCTGGAGTCGCCTGGGCCCGCACTTGGGTGGCCCCAGTGGCCTGGGGCATCAGAGGGAAGGGACAGCCACTCATCCCTGTTCACGCCAGCTTGGGTGAGCCTTCAGAATGGGGGAGTGCTGGCTTGTGGGCACAGGAAAAGAAAAGAAGTGGCACGTTTAAACCTGGGGTTCCAGGTTAGTGTTCTGTCTCTTTCTACTGGGAACTGCACTCAGGTTCTTCACACTGAGCTGCATCCTGTCTTTTCTTAAAACTTTTTTCTTTTTAATTTTGAGGCCGAGTCTCACCGAGTTGCCCAGGTTATACTCCAGCTACTGATCTCCAGCCTCAGCTTCCCAAGAGTGCTGTGATTACAGGCAGGCACCACCTCCTTGGCCCTGGGAAGCTCTGCAAGCCCTGGGCTTCTGGGCCACGTAGCCCCACACCTGTGGCCGGGACTCTGCCCCACAGCTCTGATGATTATCACACTGGCCAGGGGTCTCTTAGTCCCACCGATGTCCTGACTCAGGTCTGTTATGGGAGCGTCGAGGAGACAAAGCCAGGAGGCCCTGTGGGACGGCAGCGTAATGTGTGCACAGGGGCAGCTCGGCCTTGCCCTGGTCTGTTTTGGGACTCTGTCTCCTTGCTGCTGCTGATTGGCTGCAGGGTGACTTTATTTGGTTCACTGTGTTTATTTATTTATTTGGTCTTTTTGGAGATGGAGCTTCTCTTTGTAGTTCAGGCTGTCTTGAACTTACTACGTAGCCTAGCCTGGCCTTGAACTGCTGATGATGCCCCTGCTTCAGCCTCCTGAGTGTTGGGTTACAGGCATGTGCCCCCACATATAGCTGTGTGGTTTATTTGGGATAGGGCCTCAGTAGTTCAGGCTGGCTTGAGCTCCCTGTGTCACCCAGGCTGGCCTCAAACTCCTGGTGACCCTGCTGCCTCCGCTTCCGGGGTGTGAGTCTGTCTGCAGTGTGACTAACAAGTGGTCTGCTCTCTCTGAACCTCGGTTCCCTGCCTCTTGCCAGGTCTTGTGGTGACCTGTGAGGTCGGGACTGTGCCAGGGCAGATGTGTACCTCGGTGCAGAGAAAAACGGGGAGAGGAAAGGAGGAGCCACCAGCGCCGCCCACCACGGTGCCAGGGAGCCTCACTTTCCGTCCCTCTGTGCCTTCCAGGCAGACTTTTTGAAAGGGTTGCCGGTCTACAACAAGAGCAATTTTAGTCGGTTCCATGCTGACTCCGTGTGCAAGGCTTCGGTGAGTGTGGGGTGCTAGGGGCGGGGCCGGCAGGGTGCTGCTGTGCCTGACCCCTTCCTCTCCTGCAGAACCGCCGCCCCTCCGTCTACCTGCCCACCCGGGAGTACCCGTCAGAGCAGAGTGAGTGCTGCCATCCGTCCATCTGCCTGTCCGTTCGTCGGTGCCGGCTGGGGTGCACAGGGGGCCCCTCCAGTCTTGCCCCTACTTCCTGGTGTGTGGTGGCCTTGTGTGGCCCCGGCAGGCAGGCGCTGTGCCGGTCCTGCCCTAGGGGGGTGGGGACCCCACTGGCCGGGGCCCTCTCGTTTCTGCACACCAGGGTCCAATCTGGTCTGGGGCCTTCCGTCTGGGGCCTTCCGTCCGGCCCTCATCTCGCGGTTGCCGGCCTTGGCCCCTGCCCTCCAGTCAGACTGGGTGAGCCCTGGAGGCTCCGGGTCCCAGATGTGTACAGACTCAGGTCCTGGCAGGGAGCAGCGGAGGTGGTGGGATCCCCGGCCAGGGCCCAGGCAGAGGAGGGGATGTGGTCATGGTGCTGCTGATGGGAAGGAACCCTTGAGCTGGCCACCGTGGTGTCTGCCTGTTGTGCCAGCGCTGTGGGAGTATGAGGCAGGAGAATCACAAGTTATAGCCTCTCCTGGGCAACTTAATGAGGCCCAGTCTCAAAAGAAGGGAAGGTGTGGGGGTGTGGCTCACACCAGAGAGGCAGGTCCTCGGCCCTGAGTTCAGAATCCGGGGACCCCACGGGGTGGACTGTGGCCACAGCTGTGCACCGTGGGGCTTCGTGCACACATGTGAGCCCTAAACCCCTGTGAGAGTGAAGAGAGCCCCAGCTTTCTGCCATCCCCTCCTGAGCTGGGCCTGACTTTGAGTCCTGGAAAGATGGCAGGGCGACACAGCCCAGGGGCAGGAAGGGGCGGCCCGGCCACCTCTGCCACTTTGTCTTTCCTCCTCAGTCATTGTGACAGAAAAGACAAACATCCTCCTACGCTACCTACATCAGCAATGGGACAAAAAGGTGAGGCGCACGGTGTTCAGATTCTGGGAACTGAGGTGGTGCGGGTTCTGCGCGGGATGAGGCCTGAATGCCAGGGAGAGGGGAGCCTTGAGTGGGCCTTTGAGGGCTGAGTAGGAGTTCACCCGGTGCTCCAGGAGACAGAAGAGATTCCAGGGAAAGGAGTGGCTACTCAGTAGCCTGGGGCTCGGGAGGATGGGGTCAGGCTTGGCATCTGTGGCCTAGGATTTTGGCTTTTCTGCTGTGCTGATGGTGGGACCGGTACTCTGCCCCGTCCAAGATTACAAATGCAGGCACAGGAGAGATGCAGTGCACTCTGGGAGGCTGAGGCAGGAGGCTCATCAGTTTGACTCGGTCTGGGCAGCTTAGGGAGCCTCTGTCTCAGTAAATAGGAAAGGCTGGGGGTGTGGGCCGTGTGGAGGCCTGGGTTCCATCCCCAGAGCCACAAGACAAAACAAAGAGTGGTTTCCCAGCCTGTGGCCCCTGACCCCCGCGCCCCTGTGCTGACGTGGGGCTCCAGTCCTCTCTGAACATCTGCACGTGTTGCTCTGTGACGAGGTGGGGTTTGCAGAGCTGGGTCTCAGAGTGGGTGATCGGAAGGGCCCCCAAGCGACTGCACAGGAAATCTGGCTTCCTGTCCCTGGCCACCAGGCCCTGGATTCCAGCTTCCGGGAAGGAGACTCCCTGTGGGCCCACGGAGGGGCGGGGAGGCCCGCTGGCTCCTCCAGGTGGGCGGGTCGCTGGGAGCGGTGCTCACCGCCTGTCCTTCCGCCTCAGAATGCTGCCAAGAAGCGGGACCAGGAGCAGGTGGAGCTGGAGGGCGAGAGCTCGGCGCCGCCCCGCAAGGTGGCGAGGACGGACAGCCCGGACATGCACGAGGACACCTAGGCCTCCCGCCGCCGCCTGCCCTGTGTGTAAGCGCCCGCTCGCCCGCTCCACACCACTTCCAACCTCACAGGAGCTGATGTATTTATTTTCCTCGAGTTTTATTTATGCCGTAACACGTGTCACGCGTTGGTTAGAGGGGACTCAGTCCCAGTAGTGTGATGTTGTGCTCACCTCCCCACCCAGCCCCACCCGGGACCAAGTGTGTCCTCGAGTGTCGGGTGCAGGGGTGGGCTGGGGGAACAGTGCGTGGCCTGTGGGCCCGTGAGGGCAGCGCGCCCCGGATGTTAGCGTTTCATCATGGACTCGCGCGTGCTCCGTGTGCTCCCCAATAAAGGATCTTTCCTGTTCCACCTCGCGTCTTTGCTCCGCCCACGTCGGCCTTCGAGGATGCAGCCCATGTCCAGTGTCCAGTGTCATCACTCAGAGGAACGAGGAGGGGTCGGGCCGTGGCCCCTGGACCAGCGGATTCTCCTAAGCTGCTGCGGCCCCACGTCAAGGCCGCCACCTCAGCCCAAGGACCCGGCCGGCCCAGGACACTGCCCACGGGCGCGTGCCCTGGCGAGTCTGTGACAGTGACGCAGCTGTGGGCTCTGCTGTGTCGGGGCCGGGGTGTGGGGAGCTGATTGCTGGGCGCCGGAGGTGTGAGGGCATTGGGCTACAGCCATGGAGGTGCCAGGGAGGGACCCCGTGTTGGCACGGCAGTGGTGCCCGGCTGGCAGTGGGGCATCAGTCCTGGTGTGGGCTGGGCCAGGCTGACCCCAGTGGGCCCCAGGTGTCTCCCGATTGTTGACAGATGGGGGCAGGGCGGGCCAGGGCTGTGTCCCCTCTGACCTGGTCTCTCCGCCCTGTGCGGGCAGCACTTCCTGTTTCCTGGGCGGTGTCCTGGCCTGGCCTGCTGGGACTCCCTTACCCGATGTCACCCCACACCCATGGCCCTGAGCCCCGTCTCCATGTGGACGGGCACATCCCATGTCCCCAC